ATAAGAAACTCTTAAATATAGAGAACAAACTGAGGTTTGGAGGGATGGTGGGTGGGGAGATAGGCTAAATGGGTGAGAGTCATTAAAGACAGCACTTGTGATGAGCACTAGGTGTTATATGTAAGTGATGAATCATGAATTTCTACTCCTGAAATTATTACACTGTATGTTAACTAACTTGGATTTAAATTAAAAATAAGTAAAAATAAATAAATAAACCGAGTCTCTTATAGGCAGCATATACATGGGTCTGTTTTTTTTTTTTTTTAATTTTTTTTTTAATTTTTTTTCAACGTTTTTATTTATTTTTGGGACAGAGAGAGACAGAGCACGAACGGGGGAGGGGCAGAGAGAGAGGGAGACACAGAATCGGAAACAGGCTCCAGGCTCCGAGCCACCAGCCCAGAGCCCGACGCGGGGCTCGAACTCACGGACCGCGAGATCGTGACCTGGCTGAAGTCGGACGCTTAACCGACTGCGCCACCCAGGCGCCCCAGGTCTGTTTTTTTTTTAAGACCTCTTTTTTTTTTAAGTTTATTTATTTTGAGAGAGTGTGTGCCCACACGTGTGAGTGGGGGAGGGGCAAGGAGAGAGGTAGAGAGAGAATCTCAAGCAGGTGCCACACTTTCAGTGCAGAGCCTAACCCATGCCTTGATCCCATGAACCATGAGATCATGACCTGAGCTGAAATCGAGTCGATGCTTAACCAACTGAGCCACCCAGGCACCCTGGTCTTGTTTTTTTTTTAATCCACTCAAGCCATTCTATGTCTTTTGACTTGAGAACCTAGTCCATTTACATTTAAAGTAGTTATAGGTATGTTTACTGCCATTCTATTTCTTAGCTGTTTTTGTAATTCCTCTTTGTTTCTTTCTTCTTCTCTTGCTCTTTCCTTTGAGGTTTGATGACATACTTCAGTGGTATGCTTATATTCCTTTGTCTTTATCATTTGTATATTTACTATAGGTTTTTGTTTTGTGGTTACAAAGAGGCTTACATGTAACAACTTGTGTCTATAATTGTCTATTTTAAGTTGATAACATCTTAAAAATTTTTTTTTTAATGTTTACTTATTTTTGAGAGAGGAAGAGACAGCATGAGCAGGAAGAGGCAGAGAGAGAGGGAGACAAAGAATACAAAGCAGGCTCCAGGCTCTGCGCTGTCAGCACAGAGCCTGACGCAGGGCTCGAACTCATGAACCGTGAGATCATGATCTGAGCCAAAGTCAGACGCTTAACCAACTGAGCACCCAGGCACCCTGTTAAGTTGATAACATCTTAAACTTGATCCTACTGTAATGCTCAACATTATTACTCCCCTATGTTTCTGATGTCACGTTTTACATCTTTTCATCTTACGTATACCTCAACTAATTATCACAATTATGGTTACCTTTACTACTTTTGTCTTCTAACTTTCACACTAACTTTATAATCAGTTAATATACTACCTTTACTATTCACCTTCCAGTGAGATTTCATCTCTCATGTGTATTCCTGCTACTAATTAGCACCCTTCCTTTTCAGATATAAGAAGTCCCTTCAACATATCTTTAAGGCAAGTTTGGTGGTGATGAACGTTAGCTTTTGCTTGTCTGGAAAATCCTTTATCTCTCCTTCACTTCTGAATGATACTTTTGCCAGGTAGAGAATTTTTGGTTGGAAGGTTTTTTACTTACAGTACTTTGAACATATCATGCCACTCCTTCTGCCCTGTGAAACTGCTGCTGAAAGGTCTGCTGATAATCTTATGGGGGATTGCCCTGTATGTAACAAGTTGTTTTTGTCTTGCCCCTTTTAATAGTCTCTCCTTGTCTTTTGACATTTTAATTATAATGTATCTTCAGTGTAGATCACTTTAGGTTTCTCTTATTTGGAACTCTCTGGGCTTCCTGCACTTGGATGTCTGTTTCCTTACCCAGGTTGGGAAGTTTTTAGGCATTATTTCCTCAAATAAGATCTCTGCCCCCCTTCTCTCTCTCTCTCCTTCTGGGATCCCTAGAATGCGAATGTTAGACTGCTTGATATTGTTCCATAAATGCCTTCAACTATCTTCACCTTTTTACACGTGTTTTCTTTTTGCTGCTCTGACTGGGTGTCACTGCCTTGTCTTTGAGTTGACTGATCATTTCTTCTGCGTCATCTAGGCTGATGTTGAATACCTTTGGTGTATTTTTCAGTTCATTTACTGTTTTCTTTAGCTCTGACTTCTATTTGTTATATCTTCCATCTCCTGTTGAAATTGTGAGGATCTTTATAACCATTACTCTGAACTCTTTGTAAGGTAAATTACTTATCTCTCTGTCTTATTCAGGTTTTTTCCTGAGGTTTTATCTTGTTCTTTCATTTGGAACATATTCCTGTTTCTTCATTTTGTGTGACTCTCCATGTTGCTTTCTGTACAGTAAATGGAACAGGCTGCTTCTCCAAGCAGCCTATTGTATTTTTAATAGCTCCCAGTAGTTGAGGATGTGCCAAGATGTATCAGTGTCCCAAATGGGAGAATCTCAGCACCTAGATTCAGGCTGACTGGAAGCCCGATCTTTAGGTATCAGCTTTTAAAAGTATGCAGATATACAGTCCTCTGGGACTGCAAGCAGAAGCCCCACTGGCTACCAGGGCCAGGTGATCTGGAAGTGTCCCCTGGGCAGCAGTCACTAAAATTAGGGCTCTAGACAAATGTATAAGCTCTTTCCTAGGTTATACTAGCAAGCCAGAACAAGGTAGAAGAAGAGCACAAAGATGGTGCCCACAGCCTACATTCCTTGAATGCAGTTCCACAGGCCACTAAATGTGTGCCAAACCTAAAACCTGCCCCTCAGGCCACAGTTATGACGATTAGCAAATGGGCCTCCTTCACGAAAAAATTGAGCTTGTGGATCTGTTGCTTCTTGCTGTGTCCTGTGGGTGGTGGCTGTTTAAGAGCTCTTTCTCTGTTGATTACAGTCCTGTGGGACCCACAGACATAGGCCCCACTGGCCACCAGAGCCAGGTAATATAGAGGGGTCCCCTGGCAGCAGTTACAAAAATTGGGGTGCCAGACAGGAGTATGAGCTCCTTTTTGAGTAACACCAATTATTATAGTCCAATAGGACTAAGAATATAAGCTCCCCTGGCCTTTAGGCCAGGTGATTAAGAGGTGTTTCCTGGGTGGCAGGTGCAAAAATTGGGGCACCAAATGTGTGCAAAAGCTCTCCTACCAGAGATACTGGTACTCTGGAGCACAGCAAAGGGGGAATGCAGCAAAGGAAAAGCATGAAGATGACACCCGCCAGCCTCCGTCCCAGGAGAGTACTACACCAGCAGGCTCCTAGATGTGTGTGTTAGATTAGATGCCTGCCCTGCGGGCAGACACTTTTAAGCAGGTGAATCTCTTTCACTTTAAAACTTTTTTTTTTTTTTATTTGAGAGAACTAGAGCATAAACAGAGAAAGGGGCAGAGGGAGAGAGAGAGAATCTCAAGCAGGCTCCACACTCAGTGCTAAGCCTGACACAGGGCTTGATCCCATGACCCTGGGATCATGACCTGAGCTGAAATCAAGAGTTGGATGTTTAACTAACTAAACCACCCAGGTACCCTAAGCCTCCCTCACTTTAAGTTAGTGTGATCAGCTGCCTCTGACCTAGGCCCTAGGGCAGGTGAGTCCAAGCACACAGCCCTTTAAGAACAGTTTTTCAGGGCACCCGAGTGGCTCAGTCGGTTAAGCAGCTGACTTTGGCTCAGGTCATGATCTCACTTTTTGCTGAGTTCAAGTCCCGCACAGGGTGAGCTTGAGGCCTGCATTGGGTGAGCTTGAGTCCCGCCTTCTCTCTCTTTGCCCCTCACGGGATTCTCTCTGCCCCTTGCTCACTTGAGCCTTCTCTTCTCTATCTCAAAAAAAACCCAAAAAACAGTTTTTCAGACTTTCAGTATTGTAGGTCTTGGGATGTGAGACATGCTGATTTTCAAAGTTAGATATCTGGGGGACTCATCTCATTAATGTCTTAAAAGTTGAGATGCCCACTGTGGGGTTCATAATCTTCACTCCTTACGGAGAAGCTATAGGTTTTGAGTTCCCTTTTAGTTGTGGGTCATCACACCAGGGATGCGGTTTATGGCAAGATTGTGTTTCAGCCTCTTCTACCTTCTTCAGTGTCATTTTCTTATTATTTGTCCAAGGTATAGTTGTCATTCAGTAAGACTTTATGTTTTTTAAAGAGGAAATTGTATCGCATGTACCTTTAGACTCAGTGTATCAATGAGAAAAGATAAGTTCAAGATCTTCTGATGTTACCATCTTGAAGCAAAACCTCAATAATTTCTTTCTTTTAATTTTTCTTTTTTTTTATATTTGAGAGAGCGTGAGGAAGGGGCAGAGAGAAAGGGAGCACTAGCAGCACAGAGCCTGATGTGAGGTTTTAACTCATGAACCATGAGATCATGAACTGAGCTGAAACCAAGAGTCAGATGCTTAAACAACTGAACGACCCAGGCACCCATACTCAATGTGAGGCTTCAACTCACAACCTTGAGGTCAAAAGTCACATGCTCTACCAACTGAGCTAGCCAGACACCCCTTAATAATATCATCAAATATCCAGTGAGTATTCATATAGTCCCTATTGTTTAACAAATGTCCTTTTTCACTACTTTGTCGAATCAGGATCCAAATAAGGTCCATCCAGTGCAACAGGTTGTTATACCTCTTAAATCTGTTTTAATCTGTATACTCTCCTCTATTTTTATTTTTGACAGTTATGTATTTATTTTAATGTGTATTTAGCACATATCATATCCGCTGATTTCATATCCATTAACTAGTGCTTGAAATAGAGCTAAATAGGTACTTAAGCTTTAAATAATGAGTTTAAGAGAAAAATATTAAGTAAATAATAGTGCTGTCAGATGTGATAAATCATCAGTGTGGTCATTAATTGAGACTGTAAAACATCACTTAAAAAATATTACCAATATTTTTAAAAGAGCTATTTCTAAAATATACAAAGTCTGAATACACCTACTTTTACAAAGATCAAGAAAGAGTTCCTCAATTCCTTTGTTCTGTTTGGCTGAAGTATGATAATGTTTTGCTCCAACAGATTCTGCATACCTTAAAAAAAAAAAGAGTAACGTCAGTGATTGATGCAAAAATTTTTTTCATGTTTTAAGTAGCAATTTTAGTGACTTATTACTAATTAACCCACATTTAGTGAAATTAAGATGCACTGAACCAAATTTTAATTAAGAACATGAGAATAACAACACTTGAAATGTTTAAGTTAATTTGGAACCCAAATACAAGTTTTTGTGATTCACTATTTGATGATAGTTTTCTTTCACATCACTCTTTATATTTTTTACTGAAATCAAAAAGAGAAGTGAGAATGGAGTAACTTTAAATGTCAAAAGTCCAGAAATTACCAATGTAAATATGCTTCACTGATTCCAGTAGCTCATTTTAGATTAACAGGTTTCATTATTACATAAATGGTAAAATACACTGTGCAAAGAAAAGGACTTCTACCAGGGAGTGACGGGAGGGAGAAAGGGTGATCACTTACGATTCTGCTTCTTGAATGGAAACATGTCTCTCCTTTTCCAAGTCTATTTTATTACCTAGTTTGAAAAAGTAAAGATGGCAATTCTTAATATTGATTCATTTCTATAACAGAACTAAGTCAATTCTAAATACACAATTGCCATGTTAATCACCTGGAAAAATAATACAAATTCCCATTAAACTTCTACATGTCCTGAAACTATAAAGTTAAACCCTATAATATAAGGGCAGATCATGACTGTCAAGGTAAATGCCTCAACCTCCTTCAAATGGCTCAATGCAAATCCCTCCTGAAGCAGAGAAAATAACTTTTCCAAAGAGATGGGCACTATTCTTTGATTTAGGAGATAAGTGAGACAACATACACTTGGGAACCTATGATTCTTAGCCAAGTGTAAATGGTCCCCAGTCAACACAGAGCCAGTCAATAATTAAGCAAGGCTATCTTACTATTCATGAAAGATATTAGGCTAACCTAAGGGTATTTGGTATTATGGCTCTTTAAGCATTTTACCACCACTGGAGAGGAAACTGCACTGTTTATTTAACATGAGAGAGCTTAATATATGCATATCATACGAATTTAAAATTACTGAAAATAAGTTTAACTCTTCTTAAACAATGGGACGAAACCGAAATTATGCTAAAAAAGCCACCAGAATGAAAGTGAAGAAACTGCAAAATGCAGATGCCCTATTTAAATACAGAATAGAGGTTAAGGTGAGTTGGCTGGACAGACAACACTAAAGGAAGGATATTTCAAACAAATATCTTCTATTTTGACTTACAGAGGAAAAAAGAAACTTTTGTAAATAAGGTCATCTTTTCTTGGGACATTAGAGAATCTAGATTTCAAATTAAGCACGATAAGCACCCAATGAAAGATGCTTACAACTGAGAAGTAGAAGCCCGGAGGTTCTGTACATGGAGGACCTCAAATAAACTGAGCACCCAATTGTGGGCAGCTGCAAGTCACTATTTTACAACATAGCCAAAGCAGGAGAGGGAAACAGATTATACTAAAGCTCAGTGATTATCAACAAATTCTATAATGAACTGTTCCTTCTTTGGGGATTGTTTACCTTAGCAAGAAAACCATATTAATTCTGATTTTCTACATTCTACTTGTCAATAAAAATTTAAATTTGCTAAATATTGCAGCCAATATAGCAGACAGTCACCAGAAGCTGTTTTATGCTATGAAGAAAGCAAAAAGCACCACCTAGTGGTCTGTGGTTCCAACAGAGGCACAAGACTGCCACGAGTCTCCGATCAAGAAGACTTTTGTCCCAATTACCTAAAACCCTATGAGTTGTTTTTCTCAATCTTTAATGCCTCTGTTTTCAAATTCCACCAGGATTATCAACATCTGTTCTTAAAAAATGAGGATACAGAAAGTAGAAAATTTGAGTACTGCCTCAAATGAATATTTGGGGGAAATTATTCAGACACTGCTATGATCTAATATTATCTAATAACATTTTAAACTTACCTAACTTTAATAAATCTGTTATCATTAAAATAGCTATCTTAATAACCTAATTATTTTTTTAAACAAAAAATTTTTGTTTACTACTAGTTCTTTGAACAATCGGTATTCATAGGGAGTGACAGCACAGATTAAGTCAGAAAAAAACACATTGTGGTGACTGACATCCTTCCAAAACTCAAAATTTTTTTAGTGCCTACAGTTCTTTTAAAAGCAAGACATCTAGGGGAGGCTGGGTGGCTCAAATGGTTGAGCATCCAACTTTGGCTCAGGTCATGATCTCACAGTTCATGAGTTCTAGCCCTGCATCAGGCTCTGTGCTGACAGCTCAGAGCCTGGAGCCTGCTTCAAATTCTGTCTCCCTCTCTCTCTGCCCCTCCCCTGCTCATGCTCTGTCTCTCTCTCAAAAATAAAAACATTAAAAAAAAAGCAAGACATCTAAAGGATTAAGGCTTTGAGGTTCATATTTGTTTCAATATTACTATATAGCTATGTAGGGAACTTTCTAATAGACTTGAAACACCTGAAAAAAGATTATCAACAAGTAAAGTACAGTACTATAAAGATGAGGGGGAAAAATTGGCTGAAGCTATTGAAGAGGAAGGTGAAAAGCCACCCTGCTAAGAAGCAAAAACTTTTATTTTTTATAAAAACACATTTGAATTAAGATCATGGAAAGGATATACCCATTGCTAAGGGCAGATGGCCTAATGGCAATAAAGAGCTAGAAACCTGTTTTGCTGAGACCCAATGGTATGTGGCCTAATCAATCAAAGGAAGCCTTCAAAGGCTTTAACCCTGATAAAACTTGTTTTCCTGTCTTGGGTCACTTCATAACTATATAATTTGGGGAACATTACTAACCTCTCTTAGTATCACTTTGTACAAATGTAGCTAACAAACTTAAGCACAGTTGATGTGAAAATACATGTAAAAGGCCTAGTATATAGTATATACTCAGTAAGGAGCAGTTATTAATAGCCATATTCATCACAGTGAATGATCAAATGGAAAATTAACAGTGTTAGGAGAAAATTAAAGCCCATGATAGGCAACACACTTTTTACCACCACCCCACTGGCTTCGTCTAGCTTATTTAGTTAATCCAACACTCTAGGAAATCTTCCTTTAACATCCCCACCCCACCCCCCAAATTTAGTTAGGTTTGCTTTTGTGCTACCACAGCACTCTGTACTTCCCCTTTCATAGCATTTATTGTAATATATAGTAATAGCTTGTTTTTCTCTCTCTTCCTACACATAAGCTCTGGGAAGACAAGGACCATATCTATTTTGTTCACTTATTCTTTTTTTTTATTTTTATTTTTTAAATTATTTTCTCATGTTTATTTTTGAGAGAGAGAGACAGACAGCACACGAGCGGGGGAGGGGCAGAAAGAGGGAGACACAGAATCCAAAGAAGGGTCGAGGCTCTGAGCTGTCAGTCCAGCCCCAACACGGGGCTCGAACTCACAAACCATGAGATCTTGACCTAAGCTCAAGTCAGACACTTAACCAACTGAGTCACCCAGGCACCTTTGTTCACTTACTCTTGATGTAGCAGACAGACCTAAGTTAAAATCCCAGGTCTACCTCTACCTGGCTATGTACTTTGGAAGTATCAAGCTCTTAGCCCACTTCTCATGTGTGAAATGGAAATGGCAATGATACCTTCTTGTAGTGTTGCCAGAAGACTTACTGAAATCATAAATGTGTAGTTCTTACAACAGTACTTAGAACTTAATAAATGGTAACTATTATTAAAAGTAACTATTTAATAAACATACAAATGTTAAGGACAAACTAGAAGCAAAATACTATCAAGCAAAGCAACCACAGCTAAGAATGCTAATCACTGAACTAACTAAAATTGAGAGGAAAAAGTCTTTGGTAGCCAAATATGGGGTTCTCCATTACTGGTTAACACATTGTAAGTGGTTTAGATAAGGACTATTTAATTTACATGAGAAAGCCAGGAGATGATATCATCAAACATAAAGATTCAGAAACATGATGAGTTGAAGTTCCTACACTTAAGTTTAAATAACTTAATTATACAACAACAAGATGGGAAAAGCTTGACAGAAGAGCGATACTTATAAAACAGTGATTCAGATTTTTGTTAACTATAATCTATGTAAAAGAAACACTGAATTGACATGGATGCTAAAAAGTGTACGCAATCTTGGCTATTGTTGGTAGAATGATAATGGGAGAATTTTAAAGAGAGCTATGTAAGTATAGACTGGCTCAACAATGTCTAGATTCTAGTGTTCAAGTGTAGAAAACACACTTCTATACTGAAACAAACCTAGGAAAAAGGACTCAGGATGATGAGAATGCCTAGAAGTTAGACCAAATGAAAAACAAATGAAGACCTAGAAGTGAAGTGAAGACCTTCACTTCAGGTAAACCGTCCAAATATTTGAAGGACTGTGTTATATAAAGGAAAAGCAACAAACATTTGTCAAATGCCTTCTCTATGCCAAGTGTTTATTATTCTTCACCACAATCCTGGGAAGTAGTGTTATTATTTTGAATTTAGTAATAAAACAGAAGAGAGAATAAACACTGAACTGCTATAAAAAATAGAATGAAAATCAATAGGGGATAAAAGAATGTAAATGGCTATCAATAACAAAAGGATAAATTGTGGAATATTCATAAAATACCAGAGAGCAAAGAATAAAATGAACTACAACTATATACAAGAACAGAGGGGAATCATGCAAACATAATGTAAAGCCAAAAAAACAAAAAACCAGATACAAGAGTTCATACTATACGATTCCATTTATATAAAATTCAAATCAAAACTAGTCCATGCAGTAAAAAGTCAAGACAGTATCTGGAGGTGGGCGTTGGTGACAGAAAGGCAGCTGGGTTGGGATGAAAAAGAAACAGGTGAGCCCTCTAAATTACTGTTTAAACAGATACATTGTGAAATTCTCCTTTTGTGGTAAGTGGGCTCTCAAAACTCTTTCATCACTGAATTACAACAAAATTCCATGTCACATTTGCCAACAGAAAAGGAGTGAGAGGTTTTTATACTTCATACCAATAATTATTAAACACTATATAATATTAAATGAGGATTATCTGATTCTACGAGGGGCAGTAAGCTACCAGATTTATTCCTAAACCTTCTTACAGTAAGAACATGAACAATACACAGTTCAAATTATCCATAAGCTTTATTTATCCAGCTATTTTTTTTAAATGTTTTTATTTATTTTTGAGAGACAGAGCGCAAGCAGGGGAGGGGCAGTGAGACAAGGAGACAGAATCTGAAGCAGGCTCCAGGCTCTGAGCTATCAGCACAGAGCCCAACAAGGGGCTCACAACTCACGAATCACGAGATCATGACCTGAGCTGAAGTTGGATGCTTAATCGACTGAGCCACCCAGGCGCCCCCTATCCAGCTATGTTTTAAAAAATGTTACTTTAGGGGTGCCTGGGTGGCTTAGTCAGTTAAGCATCCACTCTTGATTTTGGCTCAGGTCATGACCCCAGGGATCAAGCCCTGTGTCGGGTTCTGTGCTGACAGTGTGGAGCCTGCTTGGGATTCTTTCTCTCTCTCTCTCTCTCTCTCTCTGCCCCTCCTGCTCATGTTCACACACTCTCTTTCTCAAAATAAATAAATAACATTTAAAAAATTAAAAAGTAAAAAAACAATACTTGTAACCTTGGTCAAATAACAAACTGGAGGCTTCTTTGACTTTAAGTATATGTTAGTCATTTTTTTCCCTCTTCTGAGAGATAACCAGAATCTCAAATAATCAAATCTTCAGTCATTCACCTACTGTGGCCACTTCCACTCCCAGTAAGTCCCAGTTACTAGACAAAGCCAGGCCAAACTCAGTAATGACTAGCTGCAGCTTTGGCCCAAACTCCCATGTAGTCTACTACTCCAGGGTTCTGTTCTGAAATACTCCTGCCATCTAGCCTACCATCTAGCATCTAGACTTAAAAAACAGGCCAGATCATCTTTGTGTCCTCTTCCCCCAGACTTGCACCCTGAACTGGAACTGTAAAGTTTACCAATTTAATGGTGACACAATGTAAGAAATGTAAATTCTAGTTAAAAAAAATATTCTTAAAAAAGCCAAATACACCCACATCAATCAGTCCATTCTAGGTCCTCCACTAAACCCACCCTGGTTTTTCCGAGGCCATTTTTACCCTACCAGTCATGCAGAAAGAAAGAAAACACTATGAAGTTATTCATCACAAGAATTAATAACAAAGCACAGGAGTCAGAATGATTTCAATTTGTACTCCATCTCTGATAGCTGCTTGATAATGGGCACATTATTAAATATCACCAGGGATCAGCTTCCTCTATAAATCCCTCATAAGGTTATGAGGATTACATGAGATAATATCTACTACGAACACAGGATAGTGTCTGGTATACTTTCCTGCTCAATAATTAGTTACTAGATCATAGAAATAATAAACTAAAGAAAAAGGGAACCAAAGAGAAATTCCAGAAGTCCAAGGATGAGTTCTACAGTTCCTTCATTTTTCCCATTAAGAATATTCCTCTACACTAGTATCATAATCTACTCATATCCTTGGAATCAAATTTGTCCTTAACTCCAAAATGTGCATAGTTAAATGTATAAAACAAGAATGCTTGCTGAATTCATTAGCTTTAATTTTATTTGAAATTAGATCCTAAACTCTTTTTTTCTAAAAAAAAAAAAAAAAATCTTACAGTGAAAAACTAAAGATCAAACTAAAGCAAGGCTGGCAGTTGAAGCCTTACATGTTTCCCACCTGTTCCCCAAGGCCTTCCCTGAAGTTTGAATCTTCTGAAAGATCACTTCCAAATCCTAAATTATTCTAAAATATTTGAATATTAAAATGTCATTCTTCTTTTCTCACATAACTTTAAAAATGAGAATTACTTATTTGCTATTCTCTAATAAAACATCAGAAAATAGAGGACATATTTTTTAAAAAGTGATGATGCTTACCAACTATACATAAACAGATTTCATTTCCCAACATTTTCCGTAATTCTTTGACCCAGTTTTTTACCTGTGTATACAAAAGAGTAAATATTAAAACAATTCCTGTTACAATGACCACCATTACAATATCCCAAGCCCCACACTGTCAAAGTACCAAGAATTTGTCTAACAGCCCATATAGTTAGGTGTTACTAGAAATGATTAATGTAGGATCATTTTTTGACAGATTATATTGCAAACTGCACACAAATACCCAATGGAATGATTTCTCTCTATATCTACATATAGTATAGACAAAGACACCTCTAATTATAAATTTTCATAAATCTTGCACAGATCCAAACAAAGCTAGTTACCCGAGCAAAAGCATGTCAACTCCAGCCTCTGATAATAACAGATGCTTGTACAGTCACTTTGAACTTAAAAATATCAGGCTTAAAATTAAGTCCTTATTGGTTGGGGTGCCTGGGTAGCTCAGTCGGTTAAGTGTCCGACTCTTGATTTCGGCTCAGGTCATGATCTCATGGTTCCTGAGTTTGAGCCCCATGTCAGGCTCTGCATTGGCAGCATGGAGCCTGCTTGGGATTCTTTCTCTCTCTCCCTCTCTCTCTGCCCCTTCCCTGCTCATGCGTGCGTACTCTCTCAAAATAAATAAATAAACTTCTAAAAAATTTTTTAAAAAGTCTTTATTGGTTCCAAATAGAGGGCACAGAGCTCCTGTATCACACACTTAAAAGGGGGAAAATGTATATGAACACCAAAAAGAGCGGCAAAATAAATTTTCATCCTTTAGTGTATGACAGTATTTTTCAACTTCAACAATACTGGTACTTTGGCTCAGATTAATTCTTTGTTGTGAGGGACTATCTTGCGCAGTGTATGATATTTAGCAGTATTCCTGGCCTCCTACCCACTAGATATCATTCAGTACTATCCTCCAGCTGTGACAACCAAAGATGTCTCCAGTCACTGTCACCTCCTGATAGAAAACCACGGGTGTACAAAGACTCCAGTAATAAATTCTTCACTATGGATGAAGCACAGCAGTAGGCACAGTTGAGAGTAAATTCAAATTAAGTAAATTAATTTTTTGAACTCATGATTTTAAATATATTGATTACAATAAAATAGGATAAAGAGGGGCGCCTGGGTGGCGCAGTCGGTTAAGCGTCCGACTTCAGCCAGGTCACGATCTCGCGGTCCGTGAGTTCGAGCCCCGCGTCAGGCTCTGGGCTGATGGCTCAGAGCCTGGAGCCTGTTTCCGATTCTGTGTCTCCCTCTCTCTCTGCCCCTCCCCCGTTCATGCTCTGTCTCTCTCTGTCCCAAAAATAAATAAACGTTGAAAATAAATAAATAAATAAATAAAATAAAATAGGATAAAGAACAAACTTGAATACCTCCTTTCATTTTTTATAATGCAATTTAATTTGTATGTAATCAAATCACACAGAACTTATACACTTTCCTAAAAAAATTCACACACTTCTTTATATTATAAAAATTACATTAAATACGTGGTAAGTAAGCACTTATTGTGCATCTGGTCCTACAGTACAAATGTAACAGCTCCATACTCTTGCTCTCTGCAAGAATGCAGAGGAACTATCTTTAATAAACCCCAAACCTTTACAAAAGCAAAGGTAATCAATATTATCACCTTATCTTTCTCTTAGCACTGAACCATAGTTTTCTCAGTACAGCCACATCTTTTTGTTTCATTCACATTTGTATAAAATTTTCAGAGAAGCAATGAACTTCCATCCACAATTGATTTCACATAAGAAAAATTTAACAATATACAATGTACATCCTCATCATTTCAAAGGAACCATGCCAGAATCCAATTATGTATTACTCTACTCACTCTACAGATATTACCACAATCTACTATATCTAACCAATTTTTTAAAAAAATTGTTACTCATCTGCAATAGGATCCCCTTCTGCAGGCATCCTATTCATTACCCCTATACATTCTGTGGTGAGTTAGAGATGGTCACAAATTCTTTATCTTCTTATCAAGAGACAGATTCTATTTCCCCTCTCTGTAAAGCAGGGCTAGACTTGTAACTTGCTTTGACCAAGAGAATGTGGCAGAAGTAATGCTATGCCAGCTTCGGACTTAAGAGGGCCTGGCAGCTACTCTTAGTATCCAGTTGTTATATAAGCAGCTTAGGCTAAAATATGGAATAATGAGAGAGCATGTGGAGAGAACACTGGAGGATAAGAAAACAGATGGAGTGAGAGGCCGTATGGGGGAGAACAGGCCTTCCTGGATGGTTTTTACCCAGCCAAACTCCAAGTTCAATGCAGCTGCACGAGTGACACCACATGACCTGCCCAGTCAACCCACAAAATCATGAGATTAATAAATCATTGTTTTAAGCCACCAGGTTTTGGGGGGTTTGTTATACAGCAAGAGATAACTGGTCATTTTTCAACTTAAAAGACTCAACCTTCTCTTAATAAAACACTCAAACCATTTCTATTTATGCCAAAAGGTAGGAAGGGATAACAGATAACAGCCCCCCCCCCAAATTCAAGTATCATTAAATCTACAAATTACTTATCATTTCATTTTTCTACTCCTTGAATTAAATTTTTCCACATGTAATAATCCAAAGACTAACTTGTATAGTTGCTTCATCTGTTAACTAATGGGAAACAAATGGAAAACACACACACACACACACACACACACACACACACACACACACAACCTGAATCTATAACAGCAAGTAATTTCAACAGGAACAAACCTGAAACTTAAGGAAAGAAAACGTTCTGCCTTGGAAATTGCCCCTTTTAGTTCACACCCTTGAACATTTATTCTAAGAGGGGCTCTCAGAGAAAGGTTCAAATAAGCAATTAGTCACCATCCTGACTGTGATGAGAATTCAGAGGTAAGTTTAATGGTAACTTATTTTTAGTTCCAACCAACTTTAAAAATTCTACTTTTGTGGTGTATGTTTAAAAGAGGGGTAAAAAAAAAAAAAAAAGAAAGAAAGAAAGAAAGAAAAAACTTTAAAATAAATACTACCTAGACTGTCCTTTAAAACTTATATCTTCCAGGACACTTACTGAGAAGAAAGAGCTTAATTCGATTTAGTTCTTATCATCTTTTTTTTTAAAAAAAAATTTTTTTTAATGTTTTATTTTTATTTTTGAGGGAGATATACAGAGTACAAAAAAATTTTTTTTAAAGGTGATTTAATGTTTACTTATTTCTGAGAGTGAGACAGAGCATGAGTGGGGTAGGGACAGAGAGCAAGATGAAGACACAGAATCTGAAACAGGCTCCACGCTCTGAGCTGTCGGCACAGAACCTGATGCGGGGCTTGAACTCGGGAACAGCAAGATCATGACCTGAGGCAAAGTCGGACACTTAACTGACTGAGCCACCCAGGTGCCCCTCTTCTTTTTTTGTCTTTACAATTAGAGAGCCCATGCAACCATACCAAGTATTCACATGCCTACTATATGTGGAATCAAGAAATATACGTAATTTTTCTTTAAGAGGGAGAAAAAAAGCCCTTCAATTTTTCCGGTTTTATTTCAAATTATTTCCCTTTCCTAATATCTGAGAAAGCCATGTAATAAACTATTAATATCTCTGTTAATCAATTAAATACTGCATTAACAAATACTAGTGGTAATCATTTATGTACAAACTATATTTTACTTTTAAAACCAAGATTAACCACATTAGTAAACAAAGGCATGTGAATGGAGACTTGAAAAATCAGTGTTGTTCTTCAAATCATCTACCTATAAGTAAATGGAATACCTTCTGAAAGGAATCTTCATCTGTTATATCATAAACTAAAATAGCTCCATTTGAATCTCTGTAGTAAATTGGACCCAATGCATGGAATCTCTCTTGACCTGCTGTATCCTAAATAAAGCAACAAATACTTATTAGATCAGAAGAAAAAAATAAATCTGCTATTGCAACTATAGTTAACTTTTAATTAACTGGAAAGTGGTGAAGTTACAGATAATCTCAAAGCACTGTTAAAAGAAAAAAGAACAGGTTACAAAAATTCTTTAGAAGTTATAACCAATAATGTTTTACCATTATACAAAGGTTACTTCTTCCCTCCCAACCCTCTTACTCCTCATCAATCTTCCCACACCCACTAAAAAAAAAAAACAAACAGTTCAATTGCCAGAGGATCAGAATGCCCAAGATGGCATTGTAAGCCAGGAACAGGCCTTGCCCTAAATTTAGGTTTCCCACAAAGGGAGAAAACAAGGAAAGACAGTATGCACCAGGACCACTGGCCAAAAGGTAGTCTGATGCATTACCCTACTCTCTACTAGGCACTCCCTTGGAAAGCTGGAACATGAAAACACAGAGGGAAAATAGGACAGTCAGGCTGTTCACCCACCCTGTTCTTTCTCTGATATGGAATCCCTGAGTTTACTCTTTCCCCAACTCAAAGGTTAATATTAGCCTGATTTCATAAAAAAAAATGTTTATTAAAAAAAAGTTTCAGCTAAACTTCACTTAAAAAAAGAAATTCAAATTCCTATTCTTTCAGCCAATTAGTTATTAAATTATCAAGAATAGCAGAAGACTTCACAAACTCAATTGAAAAGGTTAACTTACCCATATAGCAAGGTTTACTCTTTTCCCACCAATATTTAACTTCTTTGTCAAGAATGATGCCTAAGAAAAGAGATATACATTAAACAACATTTCATATGTTTCTTACCCTAAAAACTATAGATGGAAGAATAATCTCAATAGGAAACAAGTTATCTGAGAGAAAAAGTAATCACTGATTTTTTATTAATGACTAAACATTACTTTCACTGAAGACAAAACATTAGTTATATCCTAATATAAAAAACAGTTTTTTGTTTTATGGACACAAGTTATGAAAAATAAGAAGAAAAAATGGTAATTAAACATTTTCCTAGATCTTCCCCATAAAAATTTCTCTTAGAGCATTTCATTTAATGTCACCTTACCCAATCATTGTAGAAAGAACTAAGAGATTTCTAAGTGAGATAAAACATATATTTACTGGTAGTTTACTTAACTGTATGAATACCAATATTACTTGAAATATTCCCGCAATTATTTTATAATTCAATTATTTAATTCATATCTAATAATTATCTTAAGTACTAATGTCACAGAAATGAAAGGAAATGGTTCCAGCCTTCAAGGAGCTTACAGTCTATATACAGCAGAAATAAACATGTAAAGAAAAGTAGTATCATGTGACAATTGTTAAAATGGGAGGGTCTTGCCAAGTACACTCTAAAGACAGTACTGAGAAAGGAAATGTAAAGCCTGCCTGGATGAGAGAAGGCTTCAGAGAGAAGGTGATGGTCTCCCCTTTAGGAGTAGTATGGGTTTTCCCTGACAGATGGGTAAAGCCACCAAAGCCTGAAACATAGAACTCCCTCCCCATGGAGAACTCCAAGGTAGTACGGTCAATGCCAGAGATGAGACTACAGAAAAAGACAAAGGCTGAATGAATATTAAAAAAAAAACAAAAAAACGTGCTAGGGTTCCATGTCTAGATGTAGAGACTTTACTTTGTGGGTCTTAATAACACCTGTTCCAAGACTCTAGACGTGTCTTTTAATGTATACTACAGTCAGATGTATTTGGGATATGCAGCATATTGCTCTGCATTCCCTCTGTACATTCATAATACACACTGGCACACTAAGATTCTGCCAAAAAAAAAAAAAACTAACTACATCTATACGAGCATTTCCCAAACTCATTTGACCTATTTTCCCCTAGAGAAATGCCTAATTCATCCTAAGGAATACGTGTTAAGAATAATATTGTTGATGATGGAGAATCATTGAAGGGATTTTAAGCACTGGGGCAGTATAAGATCTATATTTTAAGAGAATGACTCTGCAGTAGGAGAGGAGGTTGGACTGGAAAGGACAGGACTGGACCTGGAAACAGGCGACTATTACAGAGTTGGAGAGAGAAACAAAAAGGGCCTGAACCAAGTCCACAAAGATAGAAAAGAGAAAACAGAATCTAGAGTGATTGAAGAGGAAATATAATCAGAACTCAGAGTCAGGTGACATTTAAAAAAAGGAACAGAGAACCAAGTCCAAAGTTATGCAGAGACAGTCACATTTAGGTGTATCTAAAAGAAAGTACAGAGAAATAAGGTAAAACAGATAAAAAGCTAAGATGGTGAATTATTACTGAAGGAGGAACCTAGATTTCAGGAAGTGCTTTCTGCTGTATGTACACCAAGGAAATTTAGAACTAAGAAAAAGCCAATGAATTTAGTGATTAACAAAGGAATACACAGATAGATACAAATGGCAGAGTGGAGATCAAATCCAGGAATGCCTTCCTTCAAAACCTTAACTACACTAAAGATATTTTATTAAATGAAACAAAGATTATATAGAAAGGGGCATATATAAAATAAATGGCAAAATAACAAAAGAAATAACTTGGAAAATGAGAAGACCAAATACATATTTCCACAATGAATTTAAATAAAGGACCTCTCCCACTCATTAGAGCATAGGGGCTAAGAATATGAACTTTGAATCAGAACTGTGGATTTGAATCTTACCTTGCAACTTATTAGTTGCGTGACCTACTTGACATCAACCATTTTCATGGGTTCAACATCAATGCTATATGAAGAAACTCAAAATCTGAATCCCACCCAAATATTTAATATATAGGTCAACTTAAATGTCTCTCCTGTCTCAAATATATTTAAAATTAAACTGATCTTCCTTACAAAATTGGCTTTCCATTCCAACTTCAGTATTTTGATCACATTCTCAAGTCACTGAGGTTTAGACTCTTAGAAATATTCTAAGTATTCTTCCTCCTCTGACATTCCATATTCCAAAAACAAAAACAAAACTACCAAGACTTGTCTTCATATTTCTTCTGGAGTTCTCTGACAACCAATCTCATACTACTATAACAACTTTGGTCTCACCTCACACTCTAGTCAACATGCCAAATTATCTTCCTAAAGTCTCCATGATTAAAAAAATCTTACCATAACTCATTCAAGTATTCTAGTAAGATATCATTTTTAATAAGTTTGCTTGAACTATATCCCTGCTGGCAGCTAATATCAAAATAACTTTTTTGTCATGAGTTTTGTGAGGATTTCTCAATAGACAGGAATCAATTAGAGCTGATAAAGCTCCATCCTTTCCCTTTTTACCATTTCCTTGGAAACTTACCACCACTTTCCCATGGTGAGTTTAAGGGACAGTGTTGAGTCTCTCCTAAGGAACCCTGGATATACAATTTTATGGAAAGCTGCTCATCAATATTGATTATAAAAGAAAAAAGGAATAGCCTAAGTGTCCCTCAGTATGCAATTTTTAAAAGGTACACAGACAGCCCATCCATACAGTGAAACTCTACACTTTTATTTCTACTACTATTGCTAATACTAGCTAACAATTACCAAATGCTTACTTTCTACCAAGAACTGTGCTGAGTACTTTTTATAAGAGCATTCATAAGCTTTTCCTTTATAAAAGTTAGGGAACCATAATCTACAACTAAAAATCTCTAAGTGTTATCTTTGTATCCAAGGGCCTCCACAATTGTCCATGTCCATAGCTTCTAGTATTTTTCCACTTACTTTCCAGCTTATATGGTTTATATACATTCCTCCAATTCTGCTTGTCCATAAAATTCCCCCTCTAATTTGGATGTATTTTTTTCTCTATTTGAATCCCATCTATCCAAGTCCAGTTCATGACCCAAACTCTTCTTCCTTGAATTTTTAAGCTTTCTCATACCACCCATACAACCCACAATGAGTTTCTCTATCCTGAAGAATTACAGGGAACCTAATCTTTAATATATACCATATACTGCCTTGCTTATATTGTAAATTATCTTTTCATGGGTAGAAATATGTCAACTAGATTACACATTTTTATTTAACATGCTCATGAGGCTTACAATGAAATGGTCAGTATTCTAAGAGCTTTTCAATATTAACTCATTCAATGTCATAGTACGCTGAGTTAGATATAATTAGCCAAATATTACAGATGTGGAAACTTAAGACACAGGAAGGGTATCTTGCCCAAGGTCACATAGTAAGTGACAGAGTAGGATTTGAAATCCAGGTAGGCTGGCTCCAGACACGACTCATAACCACTATGCTAGCATATCTTCCACACTGAGATCTGAGATAATACTTCTCTTATGGAGAAGGCAGAAGCCAGTGCTGACACACAAATACAACAGACATACAAATACTGTTATTACAGATAAACATATCTACAATGTACCTGGATAAATCGATGAAGGTAAAACTCAATTTATGAAGAGATGTGCTTCTAAAAGTTTCCTTGTGAATGTAATCATTTTATTTTGTATTTTTTAACTTTTTTTTTTAACATTTTTATTTATTTTTGAGACACAGAGAGAGACAGAGCACCAGCAGGGGAGGGGCAGAGAGAGAGAGGAGGAGACACAGAATCTGAAGCAGGCTCCAGGCTCTGAGCTGTCAGCACAGAGCCTGATGCGGGGCTCAAACCCACGAACCGTGAGATCATGACCTGAGCCAAAGTCACCTGCTTAACTGACTGAGCCACCCAGGTGCCCCAAATCTAATTATTTTAACTGAAATATCTACTATATTATCCAAGGATCTTCACTAAATCTTTTTTTTTTCTCCTTCATAATGAACTACTTAAGTCCCACTATATAGAAAATTCCTCGTGTAATATAAATTGTCCCATTTTATATATGTTTTTAATATGGTACAGACATTTTCTTAAAGAACAAATCATCTGTTTTAAAAGCAAATACAATTAGATTGGAAAATAAAGGTGAAAGATTTTACATAATATCAAGATGGAATAGCAAAAAATTAAAAGGCTGACATTTGTCTTATCTTTTTTAACCACCTCTATGAGGCATACTTAATTTGGGCAGACCACTCAGATGCCACTTGTAGTTATACTTAATCTAGGGCAGTGGTTCTTAATTCTGTTACATAAAAGTGTAAGGGAGAAATAATCATGGGACTTCTTTGAGAATCTGATGAGAGCTATGAACTGATTTACTCCCAAGAAAACTGCTCACATACACATACCAAAAAACAATTTCACACACTTAACCCAAGGGATTTCTAAATCCCTGGCAACATCTCAGTGAAGAATCCCCAGTCTAGAAAGGGGAAGGGAAAGTGGCATTACAGTATCAATTCAAAAGGTTCTAGAAATATAGGAAGAAAATAAATAGTACATATATACTGTGTGCCAAACACTAAGCTGGGCTTTCTCATTTACTCTTTGTAACAACCGTGTGAAGTAGCTATTTTACAGCCATTTTACAGTTGTGAACCCGAGATTTAAAGAAATACAGTGACTCACTCAAGGTCAGACAACTCATTTGGGTACTGCAGTGGGTAGAAGCCTGTCTGACTCCACAGTACTTTTTCCATTGCACAAAGCTGTTTATTCTAGAACATACACATTCCTAACCTGGCACTCCTCCACGTGGACACTAAGTGTTCCTGGATACCAACTCAACTCACAAAAATATTCCCAGGGTAGGCACAAAGTAATGAGGATCAGAGTAATGGTAGATGTCCCACCTTATTCCTCCAAACCTGAGTTACAGCACCACTACTTATAATTCCAATGACCTCATCTTCCAAACTTTAGGGGTATTAA